TTTATCAAAATAATTATTTTCCAAAATATTAATCAATTTACCAGGCACATGCAAATACACGTACAGCCAGGATGATTTTTGCCGTTGTCCGGCCAAAAATCTAGGTGACCAGAGTTTTCCACTATACCAGCGCCTGTATTTAGCACAGCATCCGAGTGTATGGCATCCACAAATTGTGCCTGATTAAATAAATGTTTAATTATGATCTAGGCAACAATAAATGTTACGCACGTTTGTTGGATTAAGTTTGTCTGATGCGGGCATACCGTTAAATCCGGGGCCTATTTTGAAATGATAATATAATTATTAAAATATTTATTTTAGAATAGTTTCATTATAAATATAAATCAAAACATACCTGCTGGATCTAGGCCAGTTATCCGGGCAATCTGGCCATTAAATGCGTGGCCAACGAATCCGGATGTATGCGCTCCGAGAGAATGTCCAATGATATGTACTTTGCTTAATGATAAACCTTTCACATTCTAAAACATTTGTAATACAGTTATGTTAATTAATTATTTTTTTACAAACAGCTTGAATTAATTATTATGTTTACCTGTAAATCCTTAATGAAGTTTGTGGTAACTTGTGCTGCTGTACGTGTATTTGCATGTGCCTGGTAAATTGATTAATATTTTGGAAAATAATTATTTTGATAAAATAAACTTGTTAATCTATTTCTACATGTTGTGCGTATATCTTATAAATATTATATAAGATTAATTACATAATTAATTATAGTGAGCATGTTTAAGAATCAAGAACTGAATGGTAAATTTAAAAACATTCAAACATGTCAAAAACAATTTATTATATTTGTCCTTCCTTATTTTATACGTTATAAATATGTAATTTTTCAAATTACACAATCAAAATTAATATTAAACATATCAAACATACATTAATTTATTAATCGGTTTTAGCCTAAATGTAATTGTGCAACATATTGTATTTACTAATTGTTTAAAATTGTTTAATTTTACAGGCTTAAATTGAAATATTATACAATAACATAATAGTAGTAGATTCATTGTAAGATAGGTACACTATATGACCATTTAACTAACAATTAAATGCAAAAAGGTTTAAAATATTTAATGTTATAAAAATAACTAGAATTATACAATTACAATTATAATGATTTAATAATTAATAATAAGATGTATGCACAATTCATTGTTTGTTAAGTTTTATAGTAATAATAAAAATGTTACAAAAATGCCTGATTTTTGTAGGTCAAATAACTATAAAACATGAACATACCTGGTCATAATTGCCGCCATTGCCGGCACTCCAGTCCACAAAAATCACATTACAATTGGAAACATGCAAAAACTCGTCGCGCATTGTTTTGGTCCAGATGCTTTTATCGGGGTCGTCCAAATAGCCATTGATGATGATCTTGGTGGGCAGTGAGCTATTGAAATTGGACTTGCTAATATCGGTCA